TTTCACATATAAATAAAATTCATATTGAATTCATTTCATTTCTCCTCAGGAATCGCCAAAAGCGAGTCACAAACAAGTGGTGCCGACTTTCTTCCAGCGCCCCGTAATATATCGGTTGTACTCATCCAATGGTATCCGCCGGCCGTACGGGTCAACTGGCAGTTTGATTGGTCGCTAACACATAACCATAAGATTAGGGCATTTCAAATAGTCTACAATCCAATCAGATCGAGGTATGAATTCACGTTTTATCATTTTCAATTTAATCACTTTCGTAATAAATGCTACCCTTTTATCGCATAATTTATAATGTTTTTGTGTTTATTTACTTATTTCGAAGTCAAATAAACTCAACGTCAATAAAATAATTTATAAATTGATATCAAAATTCAGTGTATTTTTAGATTATTTTGAAATTTATAGTTTTTATTTATTGCTTCTTAACCTTTAAACTTATTAATATTACTATAAATACAATCAAAACATTTGATTAAACTTCAGTCTTGTGTATAAAAACTATTTTTATTGCAAACCAATAGTTATACAAAAAAGTGATCAGAATTATTATTGATTTAATATTCATATCTAATTAACAAAAATCAATATATTGTACGAAATATATAACTTTTTCTTATACATTGATAATGCTTTTCATGCAATAATAACTAACATTTGTTTAAATATATACGCCCCGTAATATATCGGTTGTACTCATCCAATGGTATCCGCCGGCCGTACGGGTCAACTGGCAGTTTGATTGGTCGCTAACACATAACCATAAGATTAGGGCATTTCAAATAGTCTACAATCCAATTAGATCGAGGTATGAATTCACGTTTTATCATTTTCAATTTAATCACTTTCGTAATAAATGCTACCCTTTTATCGCATAATTTATAATGTTTTTGTGTTTATTTACTTATTCCGAAGTCAAATAAACTCAACGTCAATAAAATAATTTATAAATTGATATCAAAATTCAGTGTATTTTTAGGTTATTTTGATATTAAATTGACATTTATAGTTTTTATTTATTACTTCTTAACCTTTAAACTTATTAATATTACTATAAATACAATCAAAACATTTGATTAAACTTCAGTCTTGTGTACAAAAACTATTTCTATTGCAAACCAATAGTTATACAAAAAGAGATCAAAATTATTATTGATTTAATATTCATATCTAATTAACAAAAATCAATATATTGTACGAAATATATAACTTTTTCTTATACATTGATAATGCTTTTCATGCAATAATAACTAACATTTGTTTAAATATATTAATATTTGAATTGTTTTTTGCAAAAGTCTTTTATAAGATATTAGACCTGAAATAAAGTCATAAAATTATTGAGAACTTTCATAAAACGAGCTGAAAATCAATTTAACATTGAAATAAGCAATAAATATAATATCATTTTTGATAATTTTATGTAATATTAATAATTATAACATTAATGTATTTTCATATTGTGATGAAATACGCAAATATTGCTAAATTACTCGCAGAAAACTGAACCATAAATTAAAACACATATATTTTATGAGCAAAATTTTATAGATGTTTTAAATTTGCATAAAATTCAAATTCATGTTTATTTTTGGAGATATTTATTGGATTTTATTGTGAAGAAGACATTTGAGAAACAGATTCACTTCAGTTATTGTTATTCATATTCACAGACCATATGAATGAAAGTCGATGTTATTCTTGAAGTCTTTTTTAGACATAAAACCTATTAAAGCAAAGGCCGAGAAGACGTGCATTTCGTGCCTTGAATTAGATTAACTCATTCCTGAAGCCATATTTGACTTATACTTCTTGTAAGTAATAAAACGCTTTTATTTTGCATTTGAATTCATCCTCAGAAATATATTTTACAACAAATTTATTGCTTTAATCTGTAATGCATTCAAAAAGTCTTTGAGATTTTACAAGTAAATCGATTTTTTGTCATTTATATCGCAACCAAAGCCCATAAGTTGTTTGTTTGCAAATAAATCTGTTTTTCATTTACACATATAGTATTGGAAAGGGTTGTGAATACAGCATATGATGTGTGATATCTATTGGTTGAAGATTTTTCAAATTCAAATAAATCTTTATGCTTTGCATTCACTCTTAAAACACAAGAATTAAAATTAAATCCAGAAAATGCAATCGTATGACTGTTTTTACCAGCAATTGGCAAAAGTTTGCTCATAATTGTTTAAATTCATGGCAAATGAATTTAAATGAGCGTAAAATATAAGGAATTCTGTTGTAAAATACCATTTATTTAGTCCAATGAATAACGACATTCTCTCTCTCTCTCTCTCTCTCTCTCTCTCTCTAGAATTTCATATTATGTGTTTTGCGTCTATTTTTCTTCAAACAAAACAATAATATGAAATTCTAGAGAGAGATTATAAATCAAAGAACTAACACATGTTTTTAAACATGTGTTAGTTCTT